TATGTTTTGGTGTCTCATCTTTAGGGCGGACAATGCTCCATCTCAGTGTATTGGTGGGTTGAGAGAACACAGGTTCCAATATCCATTTTGGCTTCTTTGATACACTGGCCATGTAAGGAATAACCAAGTTCTTCCATTGACTCAGTCTCAGCTCTTATCTGCTGATCTTTCCAGAAGCATCTTTTTGTATGTGGTTTAAAAGAATAAAACAACTGGAATTATCTTACAGGAGAATTTTGCTTTAGGTGTGGATTGCAAGAGGCAGTTTCCCCTCAGTAAAATATGGAGAGTGTGGCCCATTAAAAAATCCCACTCCAGATGTTGCCGCAGTTTTTTTAATGTGACATAATGAAGACATTAAGAACTACACCCATATTTTCATTCTTATCTATTTTTTGAATATATTTCTGGCAAGCAACTTGCTGGGAAAATGTATTTCTTAACTTTAAAAAGGCTGCAGATTCTGATTTATTTCAGAAAGAAACCTTACACATATGAATACTTTTGTTTGCAACTTCTATGTATTGGGTGATGCTGAAAGCAATTTATTTTTTCTTCGTTTCCACAATTTTAACTTGTAGTCCATCCAATAGTACTTTTTTAAATGATTAATCATGCTATTAGCATTAACTGAATTTTAAAAAAGTGATTAAAATGGCTAACAGCAATATCAACAAATTAATATTTATATTTGCATGTATGGATTTTTTAAAAAGTCTGTACAAGCAGAAAAGGCTAATGTTCCTGGACATTTTCCCACTAAAAGTAGTCTTCCAGTCATTCTTTAAACATATTCATCGTGTTAATTTATAATTTAATATCATAGATCTATTTCTATATGTTCTGGAATATTCCCAACCAGAACAGAGTTTTATTGTACAAATTTTGCTTAGGAAGAAAGGTCACAACTCAATTATCTTAAAAGCTAAATACAAGTAATCCTGGCTGTCTATTTTTATAAACCTAAGCGCTTGCTTCTAGAGTTCTGGTAAGTGGAACCATTCCAAGCTAGCTACATTGCTTCCAAGATCTAAACATAATAGATTCCCGAATCTGGCACATCTCCAAGTAAATGAAAACAAGGTTCTACTGTTTAAAGACAAATACTGAAGAGCATTCCATCTTTGAAAGGAAAGGAAGCTTCAATGGAAAAGAAAACCATACTCGAGTCCAGATGTGAGTTACAGTAAAACATCAATCAAGCACAGATATTGAAACAACTGTTTTATACAAAATATAATGCTTTCTGTGGCCTTGGATAGTATTCACATTAAGAAAACAGGACATGGGCTAACATTTTGCAAGAGGAAATGCTGTTTGGAAGACAAAGGAAAGGAAGTCTAAGTGTACAGTACACTCACTAATAATTGGAAATGTATGTGATGAGCAATATTACCTAAGTAAGCAATAAGTAAATTATGTTCATAGGAATTGCTGAAATAGAATGTGAGGATAGTTAATAATAATTTGTTACATTCAGACATAGATCTTTCTGCAAGTTATTGCAATAGATGACTACAATCTTTAAGAAAACGTGTCTCATTCTCTAAGTACAATTCAGAACATATATTTGAATTTTAAAGCAAATATTACTGTACTAGCTCGATACCTGTGCTTCACTATGAAACTATGTGGTCGGGCTTAGTTTTTGTGGAGGAAAATAAGGGGAAAAAATTCTGCCTCTGCCTACCAGCATCCATTGGTATTCATCTGGCTAGCATCCTGTCAGTGTGTGAGAGAGTTCAGGGCTGTTTGGAAACTGAAGCAGTATTTGCTGTGTGAGCAAGGAGACACAGCAAGGAGCCTGGGCGTGGCTTAGCTCAACTGTTCTGTACTAAAGCTGCTTGGTGCTGTGAAACTAAAACTGAAACCCCTCTCTTCTGCTTGTGTTTTGTATTTGGAACAGATTTCTTTTCAGGTGGGGAGGGGGAATATAACTTCTTAACATCAGAGCATGTTAATAATAATATAGGAAATACTAATGCTCTGATGGTCATTTCAAAAAATCCTTTCTTAATGAGCACCTAGAAGCCAAGAGAAACATACGTGCCAAATTTCAAGTTTGTAGGCTTTACGGTTCTGGAGATTTTGTAATGATTAATGAGTGGCATTTCGCTTTTATATATATAATGTATCTTCCTGCAGCTTATTAAACTGAAGTTGCATTAACAGCTAAATTATTTTGTGGCTCATAAGTCTTTCCCATTAATTTCTTTTTTAAGTGTAATTATGCTGATCTTTGATAAAGATGCATTTCTGATTACAATTATTAAATTACTGCACTTTAAAAAGCATTTCTACAAGATTTTCATCATAGATTTGATTCTATATAAATCAAGCTTCTGAGGCAGTCTCAAAAACTGCATGCTTATTTCACTGAACATTTTTTTCCTCAAATCCTTTGCAAAGTCATCTGAAAAAGTGATCCATGACGTAAGATGTTATGGTGGACAATGTCAAACATTTTGAGGGAACTTCTTAAACAGGCTGGTTCATTCTAACCTGAAAGTACATTTATATATTTCTCTCATGCCATTAAAATATCTCTATTTCTATGAAAATTAATATACCTTGTAGATTATATCATGTGAATTATGGAATGCTAGTTCTTCTTTTTTTAAGTGCCTTCAGAAATTTCTAAAAAGATAAGATGTTTTTCTAAAGACTTGATTCAGCATACAACAAGGAATAGTCACTTCCTGAAGGCTCAGTCTATAACTGTCTAAATGAATGAATGATGAATGAATGAATACTCCAGAAACTGATGTTCCAGAAGACAACAGTACAAAACAAAACAAACCTTGAAGTAAGACTTAGGAACTGCCAAACTTTAGCAAACATGAAGTGCATGCAAGGAAACCAAATCATCTTTCTGACTTTTACAAGTAAGTCGGGGTGGGGGAGTAAAAAGCAAGAGTAGAGATTCTTACTGGCTACAGGAAATGTTTAGAAGCTGCAATTTCTTCCAAAGGAAATGTTACAAAGTGCTGACTGAAAGGTGCCTAAACTTTGGGCATCTGCCATTTTCGATACTTTCTTATTTTAAACCTGTAAACAATGGAATGTAAGTAGTAAGTATAATTTAAATCTGTGGGGAAATGTTGTGTATAACTTTTTACCATGTTGAGATTGCGTAAGTTTTTTGTTCTTTGAAAGATACAATTTGACTAGAGTGTCTAAACTTTTTCATAGTATGGTAACATTAACATGCTGACTAGAGATAATGACTTTTATTGATACAAGGATATTCAATACAGTATGCCCTAAATTTAGTCAACATCTTCAATGCCTGCTGGAAAAATCAATAATCACACCGAGTAAGCTATTCCTAAGATAAAATGGGGCACCATAAATTTATTACATCTGAAGGGTCCAACTTACATTGAATGTTCATATTCACATCCACATGCAAAAAAGAGATTTTAAGAGACTTCTACTGTGTCTCTATTATATAATGACTAAAATGCATGCAAACATTATTTCATGAATATCACAGATCATGACTATCATTCTATGAATGACATATTTCAAACCAGCAAAAACTTATCAACCGTTGCTATACAGCTTTCAATTATCAGAAAAAAATATAACTATAATAAAAAGGAAACTGTTCTGATTTCAGTAACAGAAATTCATACTAAATACATTAATTTACTTACCCCATTTCTCTTCCATTACAACCTACACAAAGCCCTAAGTCATATTGACATATATCAAATCAATCTTGATGCTATGTTTGGCAAATTGTCAATGGTGTCGTTCTATACGGAGTGAATTATATGCAGTGATGCATCCATCCTGGACCATTTCAATTGCTCAGTGGTTTTTAATCCCATTGAACATGGTATCTTTTTGCACTGGCTCAGAAGATAAGAGTGGTGAGCATAACATGCAATAGTTCTGTTCTAGGATTGCTTATTGGTGTTGGTGGCAGTGGTGGGCTAGACCAAGACCTGGGGCTCCTACTTTACATGATTCTGTGGGGTTCTACTCTCCCCCCATTCTTATTTAACCTATAAATGAAGCCACCTGTCATATCTTGGGTAATATTGGTGCATTGATAATATTCACTTGTATATCTCCATTTCCTAATGACCATCTTTGCCCCTCGCTAATCAAGTGAGGTTGTCAAAGTTTTTTTTTATCAATGTCTACACATGTTTGGGTGGAGAGGAACAGCCTTTAATCTAATCCTAGAAAGACCAAGTTGATAGGGTTTTTAAGGCCCCTAGTCCCGAGGCCTTTCTCTTTTTTTAGTTCTGGATAGAACGACACTTTCCCAGACAGTGCTGCAATGCAATTGAGGGACTCATCTGGACTTTTGGATTCAGGTGAGACAGGTGGCAATTGTGATCATGAATCCTAATGTCATCTTGTATACAATTGGACCCATTCCTGGAGGGGGAGGATCTGCTTATGCTTTAGTCATCTCATTATGGACTACTGCAACATGCTCTAAAAGGACTGCCCTTAAAGACAACTCCGAAGCTGCCTTCTAAAGAAGGTGTACAAAGGCCAAGAAGCAAGAGTTGGAACAGAACACAGAAATTTGGAAAATAACCTGAAGAAAAATACAATCCACCAGTCAAGTTCTTCCCCTTCTGTAACTCATGGCCATTGTAGCTTTGAGGCATATAACCAGAGAATGAGGCATAGAAAAATATATATTGAAATTTAAAGATCAGCATATGTATAAAAGTAAGAAACAAAAGAGCAAGTTTAGTTTAATTTGGATAGTTAACTGCCAAAACCTTTAAAGTGGAATGGAACAAACTATTCACCTCTGGTAAAAAAATAAAAATAATCCACAACTTGTCACTGTCCTTGCTTCCTTCTTCACCTACCACACTAATGAATCATTGGAGAATTAGTAAGCATAATTGCATCTTAAGTGCTTCTACAATTATTAAGAATTTAGCTTTTATGTGCAATAAATTTCACTATTTAAAAATTGCCAATAAATTTAACTTTATATTATTATCAGTAGCAATTTTTCTTACCTGTTTCCCATCCAATGTGCAAATTCTCTTGACAACGCCTGAATCTAACTTAATAGCTTCTGTTATATCAGTCAACACTTGGTCAAAGGAATGAGCAGTTTTCTTATTCAGCAAAATTCTCACAGCTTTTCGTGGCTTCACTCCACTGCGTATAACAGTTACCAGTTTAGGTTTAATGAAGTCTTTGCTCTCCCTTATTTCACTTTTTGCAGATGTTAAAGATGTGAAGGATCGAGATGAGCCAGATTTTATGTTGACAGACCAATTTGGATTAACATTCTTAGTATAATCAACTTTCCGAAATGGCTCATTGGAAGCGCATACATAACTTTCACCTAGGGAGGAGAAAAAAGAAGAAATAAGGAATATGGGTTTTTTTTGTTCTCACTTGATATGCTTTCAGTAATCAATTATCTACACATGTGTGTGTGTGTGTGTATGTCATTGGAGTATTTGCGAATGCTTAATTTTTGAAATAGTCCAAAGATAAAGAAAACTATGACTTTCAAGGAAAACCTTTTGGGTTAAGATAGAAACATCAAGCAAGCCCATCATTTTTTTCTTAGAATAATAAATATATATCATTAGGAAGGTGACAAAGAAAGCATTAAGGAAAAAGATCTTGCATTTTGTTAAAGCCAAGAACTAATATTCAATAGCCTTCTGACTTTTATATTGGCCTATTAGTCCTTGGTACTAAAAGCTACTAGTGTAGAATTTACATTACATTCATATTTGAAATAAAAACAATAGTTTCTCCAGTGCTATGAATTTGGCAGGCATTGACGTTAAATATTCAAGAAATTATTTCCTATTTATATAATGTTTTCCATCTCAATCTAGCCATTTCAGATATACGTATGCCCTCACAATGAACCTGAAACAAACTTTGCTAATAACCATAGACTACAGGGAATATAGGCGCCTTTCTCTATAATGCCCTTCTTTACTAGAACAACACAGAGAACAGATTGGAGCCCGCCTTATTATTAGGATTCCAAAGAGGAGCTTGCTTTTCACCCTGTATTGGTGTTCATAGCTGATTATGTAGTTGGAATATAAGGCACTCACACTTGCTTATGATCGGAATTGTACATGCACCTTTTTAAAATAAACAAATGTCATTCACGTCATTCTTATTCAGTTTCAACAAACAGCACAGACCTATAAATTCTACATTGTTAAAGTAGCTAGTAATTAGTCAGCATTTTGTGAAAGAGGAGGCAGAATTTATTAGCAATCTATCTAGCCGTGACAGTCAATCAAAATACAGAAATGCTGAATTTACAGTTCTTGCTAGTAAGTTCGTTCCATTCAAAGGAATCTAAAGGATGAATTGGGAATGTAGAATCAGTGTAATAATGTAAGCATGTTACTATAAATTACTAGATAAATGCATTAATATGCCAAACATTCTTAAATTGCATGTCATTGTCCTGGGAGGGCAGCCACTTGGGATAAATGTCACAAAAATGAAACACTATCAAAATTCTCTCTGACTTGCCCTATGTCACTTCCTCTAAGCCCCATCAGAGCACTGGAAGTAAGCCATTGGCAAGGACAATGCGGCACTAATTTGGAGCCTGAAGTGGCCTGGTCTGTTACATAACTGGAAACAATCTCCCCCTCCTTATTTAACAATTTCACTGCATAACATAAGCAATACTACAGGCTGTTTGTAGAAAAAAAATGTTCTTTCTCAATGTAACTGATTCTTCCCTCCTTATTCAAGGCCCATCCAACTCTTCATTTGATTCTCATTTGACTAATATTTACAAATGAGATTTCAAATTACATGTTTATTATAGACCTCTCCAAAAGCCCAAAGAGGAATTGGGTGTAATTTTTCTTTCAGGAATGTGCAGCACTTCATACAGTACTTTTTTTATAAGAGAAATTGTGCAGACAGAAATACTATATGGAAGGAAACCTTGCAGTGGCCAGCATGACCTCTTCCTTTCTTCGTTTTCTCCCTTGGGATCTTAAGCAGTCGGCAAAGCATTGCACCACACCTGGTTTCCAATTATAAAAGGAAAATGCTGAGCGCTCCAGATTATCTCTGCGTGGGTGTGTTTGGAGAAAGATTTGTGTTGTGTGAGAGGACAGAAAGAAAGGAAGATGATGTAGCCAACAGAGTGAAGCAGCTGTCAGCTCAACAGGCAACTGACAGTAAAGGAAGAGCAAGCTTAAAGTTCAGCAAATCAGAAGCTGACAAGGTGAAGGGAAAAGTGGAGCCCAACAGCTTTACCACTCCAGCAGCTGGTACAGCATTTGGCTTTTCTCACCTCCGACACAGGCTGAGAAACTGCCACACCAATGCTTCAGCAATGGTTTAGAACAGCAGGTGACAGCAAGAGGTCAACTTGAATGTGGTTAAATGATGGCTAAAGACTTTGGTATAAATTCAATCAACAGAATTGTCATAGATGATTTATAAGAATAAGATAAAGGCATAGCTGCTAGTATAACTATAGGATAACATAGTGTAGGCTTAATAACAAGTGGTACAGCACCCAAGCAAATCATATACCAATCCTCAATGAAAAGAAAAATAGAACCAGGAAAATGTCATTTGCTCCTAGAAGAGTTGGAGCTATACAACAGATCATCAGTATTTTCAGCATCACTCTCTAGATACATATCCATATATTAGAGGTTGTTTAAGGGGGTTGGAAATGGAGAAAAAGGAAGAATTGGTTGGAGTTAAGGCAGATCCTAAAACCTAAGTACCATTGCAAAGAAAAGCAATTTCACCTGATGCCTGGCTACAGACGAGGAGACATATGATTAGGCAGCAAGATGAGAAAAAAAAAAAGAATAGCCAGAAGGGAAGAGAATTAGATTGTGGAGAGAATCTGAATGCAGGGACTGGCAGGAAAGAGAGAAGGAAGAAGGAAGGAATTCCAGGACACAGAAGGATCTTGTCTTCCTTACTTCCTGAATTTGAGGGAAACTCAAATTCACCCAGTCCTCTCAAACACACACACATTCAACTTTGCCTAGTGGAAATGAAGGATTTAAATATCTGATGATCTTCAAACTTTCATAAGACAAATATAGTATTATTCTTTGTAATGTTTGAATATATTGCAGTTGCTTGGAAATAAGGAAGAGTAGATAATTTAGCTAATTCTATGTTTAACAGGAAAAGTTTTAGGAGCACAAATCTGGCTCCCTTCAGAAGAAGTCTTTGACTATAATTGAGTAAAAAGGCTGTATTGTATAGATATGAAGTAAATATAAAGGGGGGAAGGAAGGGAGGGAGGGAGAATGATTAGGCAATATTCCCAACTTACATGAAGGAGAGAATTATGAGCAAGATTAGAAGATTTACAATGAAAGTGGTTAAATCCAGAAATACGCGATAAGAAAATTGGATGAAATTGTGTTAACATATTTTATCTAATTTTGCCATCTTATGTTTCTGAAAGATGCATCCCTTGCAAAAAATTATTTAGCATCACTAAAACCTGAAAAGGTCAGAAAAGGGTTTGAAATTGGAAAAGGACCAAGGAGTTGTCAAGTGTTGACTGGCAAAGTAACACTGAAGGAGAGAGGGAGGGAGGGAGGGAGGGAGGGAGGGAGGGAGAGGGAGAGAGAGAGAGAAATGGCATAGGAAATATTCCTGATCAGGAGGAAATAAGAAACCTACTGGGAATATAAAATGCTACACTAGTGTAAACCATAGCATATGCTTCCAACACATTCAGCATTATGGGAATAATAGGCATTCAAAGACAGACAAATAAGGCTGATAAAAGTAGAAGATATCCAATAAATAGAGAATGTAACTCTGCCCTGGGATTTAATGGAGGAGCAAAAATTCCTCACTAAAAGTAGTTGGGAAATAGAAAAAGAAAGAAATAAGGATAAGGAAAACATGTATCACATAATTAAATTACTAAAATTAATCCTAATGTTACAAAATATATATAAATAAAACTTTTTGGCAGATAGTTAATGTTAAGTATGTTGATCAATTCTAAATCAATGTTTTTTCTCTTCCCTCCTTTTATGTCACCACATTAGAAAAACAACTTTCACACCAACTTTTGCAAATAAATGTGAGTCAGTCTGAAATAATTTGCTATAGAGATTGCATGTTAATTAACTCACACTCCTACACACAAACTAAACCCCATTTATTTTAGTAACTCAAGTCTATCAGAACTCTATGCCCAGTTTTCTTTCAAAGCAACCAGGTACATATATGTCAACTACAGAGAAATGTATAAGGTTCTTGCTAGCAAATCAAATTTTGACTCATCCATAAAGCTTAATGGTGTATTATAAAGGTTAGGTGGAGATAGAAATAATATGCATTGTCTTACATTCCTAAGGTGGAATGTGATTTCAAAATAATGGGTATTAATTCTTTAAAATAAGTTCTGCAGCTGAAGGAGTTACTCCTTGGAATAAGTGCAACCCCTCAATTTAGTTTGAAGCAGCATTAACAAACTTTCAAATTTCATCTATAAAAATAAAAATGATACATTATCATATATTATTTCTAAAATGGGAAAATACTTGGGAAAATGTTTAGCATAATCAGATTAATGCTTCCTTAAGAACCAGGAAACTTATGGTACCTTAAGAGTTAGATGAATATTTATAGATCAGAGATTGCTGCATGAATTGCATGTGTTACCAACATGAGGCAATTTAATCATTATTATAATTACACCTTATCTGGTTTCATGGATAAAGGCTGTTGTAAAATTTCATTTTTATTTCACTATTAATCTGAAACCAGAATCTATACTATCTGTACTGAATCTTTCTTTGGAACTAGATATTGGACACAAAAACATTTATTGTTATTTATTACCAGAAGCAAAAAAAGTGTGTGCATCCAGATGCCACTGAGACACTACCAAGTCTGCTGTCTACAGCAAGGGTCCCCAACCTTTGGTTCATGGATCAGCACCAATCCGCGGCATCCCAGAAACTGGGCTATGCAAAAACCAGCGAAACCCCATCCGCGGGATGCAGGCAGCACACAAAACCACACCCCCTCCAGAACAATCTCTCTCCACAGAACCGGTCCTTGGTGCCTAAAAGGTTGGGGGCCGCAGGTCTACCTGCACAGATACCTACAGCTTGCTAGAGCCCACATTCTGACCCAAGAGAACCCATTATGGGCAGGAAGAAACCAAAGGTGCCAGCTCTGTCTTAACGTCATCTTTGACCATTTATTACAGGGCCTAAACATACAATCTATAGAGTTATGGATTCATATTTCTGCTCTTAATAATAGCAAATCCTGGAACATGCAGATGAAAATTGAGCACTTATAGAAAAAGAAATCCACTGTTATTATCAACTGTATTTGGAGCCCTCAGAGCAATACCTAAAGGACTCCCTCTGTATTTGAGAATTTTAACTTTATTGTACCTGAACATCCTAATTTTAAAAAACAACCCACCTTGCTTGGAACTTCCTACATTCTTGGTACTTCCTACATCATACGCTACACAATGAGGACCCAGCTTGTTTGGCACAATATGCTGACTCTGCAAAATGCTTAGAGATGGCTGTAAAGAACTATGAAGCAGCATATAAGTCTGAGTGCTAGTGCTATTCTTAGGAGCTATTTTAATAATTTTTGAATTATTAAATTTTCACCATTCTTAGACTATAAATCTAATTGCAGATTACTCAATAATAATAAATTACATACTAGCAGCCCTGTGAGATTATCTTGTCCCACTGGTATTAAGCCATTCTTTGCTGGTAATAGTCTATTATTATTTTTGTAAAAAAAAAAAAGAAATTAAATCCAAACAAAAATATGGCAATATTCAATAAGCTAGAGGGCCTGCCGTTAACTTCAAAATACCCATTTTTGAACAAAGGTACAGCAAGAGCAAGATTTCATTATTAAAGAAATAAGTAACAATGAAACAAATGACTGATGGCAAAAGACTTATTTTTTATAATCATGTATGCAGGATAATGTGTATGTGTGTATGATGCACATCCACAAACACACAGACATATACAGTATCTCTGTTCATCAGTTCATCATATACAGTATTATCAGTTTTCTAAATAGTCACATAATAAGATAGCTGCCTCTCTGTCTTGCATTTCTCTCTCTCTCTCTCTCACAGATACATTTGTAACTCATAATTCAGGTACTTTACATCATAATAAGGCTGCTAGTCTTGAAATTGCTACAATGTTTAAGAGTTTGTGATCAACTAATGTAGCAATTGATTATTATTTTTTAATTTAACAGTAACTTTTTAAAATGAGAGTTTGTAGAGATTCTCAGTCATCCAGGTCATGGTTGTTCCAAAGGTGCTTTTTCAGGAGGCAACTGGACTTTCTTGTTCTTTTTTCTTTTGAACACCTTTCGCTTCTCATCCAAGAAGCTTCTTTAGCTCTGACAGGATTCCATTCCTCACTATCCTCCCAGAGCTGAAGAAGCTTCTTGGATAGAAGCAAAATGTCTTCAGAAACAAAACAAAGCAAGAAAGTCCAGTTGTCTCCTGGAAAAGGACCTTTGGAACATTTTAAAACAAGATTTATTGCTTCCAACTTACCTCTTTTGACTGATTTACAAGACTACAACAACGTGGACTAGAATTAGTTAATTTTATTCCCTTACAACTGCTAAGCAATAATTCTGAGAAAAGAGTTTTATAAAAAGCCAATTAGAGAATTCTTAAAACTTCACTGAAATTGGTCCATTAATCCATCCAGTAAAAACAGGTATAACAATGTTCAGAGATTTTCAGACAGTAGTTCTCTGGCCTTTAGCTAGATGTGACAGTTTAGCGCTTCCCCAGGAGGTAATAGAATTACAGGGATAATGTTCTCCATTCTTTTGAATCACTGAAGTAGGTCACATAGTCAGGTGGTGGCCTTGCACAAATATCTTTGGGAACAGGAATTAGACAAGAAGTCACTGCTTATTTGAATAAACAATTCTAACTGTGGTTTGTCCATGTAATCCCTGAATGTGATAGCACTTAACACTTTGTACTGAGGTATTGTGTACATGAAATTAACAGTTATCAGCCAAGCAATCTTGGACACCAGTGGCTCTCAACCTGTAGTATGGGGAGGGGGCACGACCCAGCTATAGTATGGGGGCATGGGGGACATAGGGGGTCTGTGAAGACTTAAAGCAGGGGTCTCCAACCTTAGCAACTTTAAGATTTGTGGACTTCAATTCCCAGAATTCCTCAGCCAGCAAAGCTGGCTGAGGAATTCTGGGAGTTGAAGTCCACAAGTCTTAAAGTTGCCAAGGTTGGAGACCCCTGACTTAAAGGAATGTTATGATTTAAATCCGGAGTTAAATCTTGGGGGTCTGTGGCCATGGTCCATGGCCAGAAAAGGTATTTAAGGGGGTTTGTGATGAAGAAAAGACTGAGAACCACTGCTGTACATTAAGTTAAAAGTGCAAATCCTTCAATATTCTAGAATAGATTCATATCATGCAATCAACAGAAACATATATACTCATAAAAAGGGGAAATCTAAAAATTCATTGAATGCATGCTTATTGTAACAGGTATGTATGGATAGCAAATTGATATTTCAAAAAGACAGGTATGTAAAGCTAATCATTAAATTAATATGTATGAAGTATTATGGACACCGAATGCTCTGAACTAACAGGTAAACAGAAAGTTCTAGAAAACTAAGTTAATTTTCATTATACTTGTCCATGGAAGACACTTGGGAAGATTAATCATTTCAATCTTTAAAATAGGATCTGAAAACTACATCATTTTTTTCAACCACAGAACAGGGATATGAAAATAAACCCAGAAACCTTCAGTTTTATGCATTAGTTATATAGGCAATTATCATTTCTCTGTGAAATAACCAATCTCAGGCAGTTTGGAGCTGTTGTAGCTGGTCTAGTAGAAATATATTTACAAATTCAAAGTAATCCATTATAGAATTAATCCCACAGTTCTAATATTTGATTTCAACCTCTGGAAATATTAATTGTATAGGCCAGGTGACACAGCATTAAAAAAACCAAGGGCTAAACATTTGTCTAATCAATATTTTTTACCACAACATTGCGACTCTTTTTGCAAATATCACCCAGGGTACCTTTTAATCCTGTCTGAAGCTATTTACAGGCAGATGGGAATACCAAACCATGTTTTAAACAAAAGCCAATCTACATTTTGGAAAAGCCCAATGACAGCAGCCTGCTAATATGCACATTTCGATTTTCAAAGGTTCCCCCTGCCCAATAAAACAGCGCATTTTCCTCACAGCGCCTACAGATATGCACGGAGGTTCCCTGTTTAGAATAGTCCGATTAAATGAAAGAATGCGAATCAGCTGAAACGGGGTGACATCATCTAAGAATTGTGGGTAATATGGCCAGATCTGTGCGAATCCCACTGGTGAAAACGCCCTTAACAGCCGCTTGGGCTACACACCACTAAACACGCCCACCCGAGAGCGGCTTCCCCACCGCTCAGCGCTTATGTCCGAAGACCCGCCATACAGCCAAGTAATAAGGCGGAGGCTTTCCCTTACTTACCATCCACCAGTTCTTCAAGGCTGGAGAGCTTTCGGCTGCCATCCGCGGTATAGATGGCCCGGACGCCCTGAGGCAGGTTGACGTTGTCGGACAGAGACCGGGTGAGCTCGACCAGGAGGGCGTCGAAGGAGCGGAAGCGGTCGCTGGAAATGGGATAGACCAAGCCCTTGAAGTACTTGTCCCCGTTGCGGTAGAAGCGCGCCCTTTTGGCTTTCTTCTCCGAGCTGAGGGCCTGGAGGGTGCGCGTGCGGTAGAAGCTGCAGTGGGCGCTGTGCGCCGGGCTGGGGATGAGCCCGTTGCCTTTGGCCCCCGAGCTGCTGCTACAAGTGGAGCTGCCCCCTCCCCGGCGGGAGCCCGAGCGCTGCTGCCTTTTGTCTCGCTCCTCGAAATGCTCCAGCTCAATGCACCGCCGCGGGTTGGCCATGGACGGGCTTGTGGTCGCCTGCACCACACACACAAACACACACACACACACACCCCTCGGCTTTCCAAACGAAACTCGGGATAAGAATAATTAAAAGAAAAACACCGCTAAAAGCCTCCTCTTAAGCCCCCTGCCCAACGAGACGGCCCCGAGTGGGTAGCCCGCCCAGCATTCCGCCCATACGAAGGCAGCGGCGTTGGGTCCCTCCGCGGCTCGGCGTTCACACGACCCCTTTCCCCGAGATGCAGCAGCAGCCCCGAGCTGTGCCAGGGACTCCGTGTCCATCAGGAGACGACAGGTCGTCCTCTCGACTCACGCGCGCGCTTTCTCGGAGCCGCAGCTCAGCATCTCGCAGCCCGCGGGCAGCCGCAAGAACGGAACGCGGGCGGTGGCCGCGGCAGCATCCGCTGAGGGATCTCCGTTATTAGCCGCTGAGGTTCCCGCCCCGCCCCACTTTGGGGGCGGCTTCCATCCAGTTTTAAACCCGAAGCGGAGAAGATGAGGCCGGCGGCGTCCCCGGTGCAAGTAATTCCGTTCTCTCCTTGGAGCTACCGAGAAAGGAGGTGGGGACGCCGCGGTCTTTCCGCGGCCCCGCCCCCCGAGGGAGGACCCGAATGCGAGCCGGAGTCTCGGCCGACTGCTGCACCGCGCTAAGATAACGGCGGGAGAAGGCGAGGCGAATGAGGCTTTGGCGCCTCAAAGAGAGGAAAGACCCGAGCCGGAGCTTTCCAAGTCCCTCGTTCGCCCTCGGCAGTGGCGCGCCCGCGTAGGCGCAGGCAGACTCAGCCTAAGCGGGCCGGGGAGATTTCTCTGCCAGCTATACCGCCGCCAGCGTCCCTCCGCAAAGGAAGGCTGCTTTTCGGGATGGGGAGGAAACAGGCTTCCCCTCGTTCCTTTCCTGCGCCTGCAAGCGCTTCGGAAGCCAGGCGCAGAGGGCTCCAACAGAAGGAGCAAGCGACGGGGATGACCCGGCCGCTTGTACACGAATAGCGATGCGGTGTGTAAGGGAGAGCGGCAAAGATTGCTGCTGGGTCCTAAAATAACTTGGCTTCTACTAAGAGCTCCGTAACCAGGCTGATTGTAACCCTAATCCATGGGAAATGGCTTGCCTACTGCGCAAATTCACCCCGATGCTCACCAGATCATGATAGATTCAACAATAACAGCAAAAACAATAATTAAAAAAAAACCTTGTCTGAACTTACTACATGAACAGAACAAGGATTTGCCTAATGTGCAAATTCAACCAGGATGTTCACCAGATCATGATGATAGATTCAGCAATAACGATTATTTTTATAAAACCCTAATATGAACTTACTACATGAACAGAAGAAGAGTTTAACCACGTGTACTTTCCATTAATCAATTTCATTCCTGTTACATGCTATATATATCAGGACACATTCTGTCATAATGCATTATTGAGCTTTTATTTATTTTGTTTATCTGCAGACTTGTCACATGTCATGTTAAAATGTTATATCATTTTTTTTGTATTTTTCTGCTCATCTTTGCTTTGTTTACCATGTTATTTGGCAAAAGGTATTTGAACATTTCAAACTTCAGATACTTAATAACTGACCTAAAAGTTACTGTTACTATTGTAACCTTTTGTTTATTTACATGTAACATTTTATTTATTGTTTCTATTAATTTACACTTAAAGAGTAAAACTTGTCCAGTATAAATATACATAAAATACTGTTGTTTTTCCTGAAAGAAATATCTGGTTAATGTTATATATGAGAATGGTCATGAACAACAATTCAAGATGATAGTCTGAGCATTAGAGTCAAATACTTCTAGCAGAAATTGCCGCTGAGCAACGTTTAGCTCCATAGTATAAAAACAAGTATAATTATAAATTAAAATTATGAGTATAAAAACAACACAATTATGTTATTATTTAGTATATTGTTCCATTTTTACTGAAGGGGAAATGTTTATGGCAGGAATCCCCAACCTTTTGAAATCTGCAGACCATCCGCGGTGCCGGTGGTTTTGGCAATTTCAGTGGGGGGGGGAATGGTTTTGCACGTGCAACCTACATCCCATGCATGTGCAAATGAAACTTTGCATGCTTGCCCACCGCTTCAGTGGTCTGGTTCCCAACGGGCTGTGGCTTATGGATTTTTCTGTCTTAGATGCCAAAATTATTTTGTTTGCCTTTAGTATTATGCACCTTTTCATACAGGTCAGGACAGAACCTGGCAACTGTTATGGTTGTACAAGTAAAGAAGATCAAGAAGTGAAGCGCACCTGGCCTGGACGAACTGCATGGATACTGGTTAAAACACTTGACCCGCCTCCATCACCGCATGGCCATTCAATTTGACAAAATGCTTCAAAATGCAACAAGCAAAGAATGGTTAACAGCAGGCCGAACATACTTGATAATGAAAGATCCAGAAAAGGGCACAGAACTAAGCAACTATCACCCAATTACTTGTCTGTCAACAACATTCAAACTTTTTACAAGAGTGCTAGCAAATTCAGTATTCAATAATCCAATGGAAAATAGTTTGTACCCAGTAGAACAAAAAGGAAATTACAAAAAATCAAGAGGAACAAAGATCAGCTGCTCATTGACAAAATAGTACAAAAAAACGCAAAACGAAGAAGAACAAATTTGAATATGGCGTGGATAGATTACAAGAAGACATTTGACACATTAACCTACAACTGGATTAATGCCTGTCTGAAAAACTTTGGAATCAGCAAAAATATTTGTACATTTTTGAAAGCAAATATGTAAAAATGGAAAACAGTTCTAACAGCAAATGGGGAGAACATTGGTGAAGTCAACATCAGACAAATCTTCCAAGGGAACTCACTTTCGCCACTACTGTTCAACAGCGGGTTAATTCCAAAGACAATACTTCAAAACACAAAACTGGGCTTCCAAATCTCAAGCCAACATGGCAAGATAAATTATCTACTATACATAGATGACTTAAAATTGTATGCAAAAAGCCCCACTGAACTTGAATCAATACTCAACACAGTTCCACTGTTCAGCAACGACATCAGAATGGACTTGAAAAATGTGCTACACTATCCATGCAACGAGGAAAAATGGAAAAAATAAAAGGAATAGAACTGGGAAATGGAAGCATCGTGAGAGCATTAGCAAAGGATGGCAGTTACAAATACCTAAGCATATTGGAAACAGATAATATCTTGAATGGAAAAGTCAAAGAGTCAACACAAAAGGAACACATCAGGAGGGTCTGCAAAATATTAAAATCAAAACTGAATTCTGGAAACATAATTAAAGCCATTAATACATGGGAGGTTCTTGTGATACGCTACCCAGCTGGAATCATCAACTGGACTGTGGGTGAACTGGAAAACCTGGACCGGAAAACGCGTAAATTTTTGAATAGATACCACGCTTTACATCCACAAAGTGACATCGACAGGTTATAACTGCCAAGAAGAATAGGGGGCAGAGTTCTATTGCAAATCCATCAAACTGTAGAAGAAGAAAAATGAAGTTTGAATGATTATGTGAACCAAAGTGCAGAAAAACTGCTGCAGGCTGTGAAAATGGAGAACATTATCAAAACAACAGAAACAGGGAGAATATAAGGAAAAACAGCTGGATGACAGATTAAATGGATGGAAAATCAAAGCTTTGCATGGACAGCACTTGGAAAACATTGAAGGAAAATGTGATAACAACTTGACATGGACATGGCTTAAGAGAGGAACCATCAAAAAAGAAATGGAAAATTCAATATTTGCTGCTCAAGAACAAGCACTACAAACTAATGCCATGAAAGTGAAGATACAAAAATCCACTGACAATCTAAACTGCTGACTTTGCAATGACAAAGTTGAAACTGTTTCACACTTAATAGGTGAGTGCAGCAAAATCGTGCAAACTGACTACAAAGCTAGACATGATCGAGTTGCTAAATTAATCTACTGGTCATTGTGTAAAAAATAACCCTACCTGTATCCAAAAAGTCATGGGAATATAAAGTGGAAAAAGTTGTCAAAAATGAGACGGTGAAGATCTTGTGGGACTTTCAAATAGAGACGGATCATCATTTGGAACACAATACACCAGAAATTATGGTTGTCGAGGGCTGAAACATACAATTTATTGATATTGCTGTACCAGGAGGTGCCAGAGTCGAAGAAAAAAAAATCACAAAATATCTCGACCTGGCCATCAAAACTACACGGTTATGGATGAAACTTGTAACAGTGATACCCATTGTCATCGGGGCACTTGGTACCATGTCCAAGAATTTTACAAAACACATCAAGAAATTGCAGCTTCCTGCAAAAACATCAACAGAACTGCAAAAAACTGCACTACTTGGAACATCGTATGCATACTTGGTTGATACCTAGGACACTGGCAGCAACCTTTATCAACCATTAGCACCAGTCACTGGTATTTGTGATGCATTTTTGAATGTTCAGTTGACTTCATGAGATCCTTTTTCTACCACCAAAGCAAAACCATGTACTTGCAATATTTATTGTCCCCTTTGTTCCAATGACTCTACAACTTGTGCCCATCCAATGAGTGAGACAATCTTAAGTATACTTTGGTTGTAAAATTCATTTCTACCAGTACCATCCACTGCCCTCTAACATCAATATAGAAGTTAGAAATTAGAATTTGTACATTCTATGTTAACTTTGTCTTAGTAGGTTGCAGTTGTGTTGCATTGCTATTCCCATCAATTCCAATTAGTCACATTTGTTATAGATTATGGAATTGTAATTCAGCAATTGAGGCTCACCAAGTTCGAAACAGGCTGATAGTAGTCCGGCCATTAAAAATTACTTAGATATAACTGTATGTCACAGGGAAGTCTGAAAACTTCTACAATTGGATATTTTTTCCACATTGAACTCAAAACTAATAATTTCTGGGGAAAGTACATAATATTGGTTGTTTATAGATTAATTGTCTCTTCCCTTTTTGGTAACATTGTTAGCATGACAAAATGGAATGCTAACATTCCTAATCAGGATAGATTAATAGGAATTGCATAATACCTTTAATAGCAGCCTCTTCCCCTCCAGGATATAAGTAGGCTGACTATAG